AAAAAAAACTGTCATAAGGGCCCTAAAATTCTTAAAAACTTTTCTAATATATAAAAAAAATCTAGATAAAAATACTATATAAAAAAATAATCTTTACATTTGTAAAAGGGCCCCTAAATTTGCAAATGAGCCCCCTAGACAAAGCTCTGCTATATATATATATATATATATATATATATATATATATATATATATATATATATATATATATATATATATATATATATATATATATATATATATATATATATATATATATATATATATATATATACATATATATATATATATATATATACCATTCTCTTTAAACAACTGGTCCAGTGTATACTATAAATAGTCTAAGTTCAGTTGCTTTCCATTTTTTAATATCTAATGAAGACCTTGATTTTATAGAAAAATTTCTTGGAATGTAATGACGTATCTGCAACAATCCGCCAGATAAAGTATTGACTGTAATCTGAGACAATTTACAACATTTGGGCAGTTTAACCATAAGTTGACAAATCTTTGCATTATCCCTATGCATACTAGATGCATTAAGTCTAACGGAAACTTTGTCACCATGTCAAAATTTAATTCAATTTAACACACCACTAAGATGTTCAGAATGCTTTTGATGACAAAAAATTTGAATCAGTGCTTAAAATTAGTGAAATATGTAGGAGAATTATCTTGCCAAACCACTCTCCTTTCTAAAAACAACACTCGCATCAGTTATAACCATTGTGTCCTTTAATAAACTTTACAAATGCTCTAGCTAGTGCATAACAGCAAGATTGATTTTAAACTCAATATTTTCATAGATAAAACCATCTTTTGCAAGAACCTTGAAATCAACCAAAAAATTATGTAGATAATTAAGGTGACCAACTATTCTCATTTACTGAGTTTTGTACTCTTTTTCACAAACCGTACTCTTTTCAAATCCTGTACTCTGAAAGTACTCATTTGTATAATTTTGTACTCATTTGTATTTCTAAAAAATATTTTTAGATTATTTCATATCAATTTTATTAATTAAAAATTTAAAATTATTTTGACAGTGATTTGAATTTAACGCGCGCATATTGCTTGCCGTTTCCAGCACATCAGAGAACAGGGCAAACACCAGACACAAGTTTGACAGTGATTTAAATTTTGCACGCACATATGGCTGCCTTTTTCAGCACAATTGAGAGGTCGTATTATGTACCTGGAGAGATAGATACTACAGACCTCTTTTTCTAACAACTTCAAAATTACATTTGTGAAAAGAGATGGATATATCTATCTCTCCAATATTTGTGTATGTAATCCCTACGCTGATCTTTGATGTACTTTATGTACGGCATGCTTGACTGTCTTGACGCATGCGTAGTATGTATAGCAAAGTTTTTTTATCCATTTATTTAATTAAATAAAAGGATAAAAAAAAAACTTACTGTACATACTACTCATGCGCTTATGGTTAATTAACCATAAAATTACAAATTTAATTATAATTTACAAACTTATGTTCGGTGTCACTCATATTAAAAACAAGTCAATGGAGCAACAACTTAATAAAATAAACAAATAAAATAAAAAAATGTTAAAATAAAGAAATAATAAAGAAAGTAAACTACATTAATATAAGTAATAAAAAATGAAGTATAAGGAATAATAATATTTAAAAAGTTGGAATTAGCACAAAAATAAAGGAGTAATATAAAGGAGTAGCGCTAAGAAAAATGAAAAAAAAAAAAAAAATGAACGGATGAGATAAAATGAGTATGAAAATATGTAAGAGAAAACAAAAACTTCAGAAGTTCAGAAGGATAGAGTGACAGAAAACAATTTCTACAGAAAAATATTTAAAAAAAAAACAAATTAAAGGCAAATTTAAATAAAAAAATATATACACACACAACTACATACAATATTAAAGGCTATATTAAAGCCTATAAACTGACCGCTTCGGAAGATTCCAATCCCGGAATAAAAAATGAATTTTTAAAAGAAGTTAAAATTTTTTATAAAATTTGCTATGAATATATCGAAGAATGGATAATGAACTTTAAAGCATTCAATTGTTTTAAATGAACCCTTATAAATAGTAAAATTAAATGTAAAAAAGTTTCTTCAGCAGTCAAATTTAAAATGAAGGAAGTAAAAGGTATTGTTATTAATGACAATTTTCTCTTTGAAGAAATTCAAAGAGTAAATTTATATTTAAATGAAGAAAAATTGAAAAAATGGAGTGATGAGAAAATAAGACTTGACAAAATATGGGTAGAAATCTTTCGGCATTTTAGAGTAGAACATATCCCACATAAAAATTTAATAGTTTTAATAGAAATTTCTTTATGTTGTTTAGGCACTAATGCCGCTGTTGAAAAGGTATTTTCACTAAGGAATGATTATTGGAGCAGTGAGAAGTTGCAACTTTCTGTAAAAACATTATCTGCCGTCTTAACTTTCAAATTTAATATGTAAAATGAAAGTTTGCAATAAATATATCAAAGAATGGGTAATGAGCATTGAACTATTTCGAATGGACCCTTATATATAGTAAAATTGAATGGAAAGAAGTTTTTTCAGCAGTCGAATTTGTAATGAAGGAAGTAAAAGATTTTGTTATTAATGACAATTTTCTCTTTGAAGAAATTTGAAGAGTAAATTTATATTTAAATGAAGAAAAATTGAAGAAATGGAACAATGAAAAAATAGAACTTGACAAAAGATGGGTAGAAATCTTTCGGGATTTTAAAGTAAAACATATCCCACATGAAAATTTAAAAGTTTTAATAAAAATTTCTTTATGTTGTCCAGACACTGATGCAATGTTGGAAGGGTATTTTCACAAAGGAATGATTATTGGTGCAGTGAGAAGTTGCAAATTTCTGTAAAAACATTATCTGCCGTCTTAACTTTCAAATTTAATATGCAATTTAATATGTTCGGATGCGGTTACATTATTAGACGAACATCCTCATTTAGCAAAAAAGATCCACTCTGAAGAAAAATATGTTTTTAAAAGAAAATAAAGTTTTGTATCGTTTTTTCTTTTTTTTTTCACCTATGAAATACTTGCAAAGTGTAGTCTTTTTGAACGAAAGATAGTTGGTCCCCTTAAGATAATTAAAAATGGAATTAGATTTTTGGGCACCACTTTTTAAAAAAATTCTAAAAACCCAATTTGGGTCCCCTAATATTGCAAGTCCTAGGCCTAGGCTCTGACAGCAACATTTATAAATAGCAAAAACTTTTGGCAAACTTTATTTAAAATTTTTTACATGTATGTTTAAATTTTGTCACTATTTTAAATTTTCATTCAATAAATTCCTATATAAAAATATATTTTATATAAAATATTTATAGCGTATTATTCTTTTTTACTGTCAGCTATCAAGCTGATTAAACTGACTTGATCAGCTTCAGCATTAATCTAAAGCTAATGAGTTTATAGCTGAGGCTGAAATATCAGCTGCAACCCCTACTTTATAGACAACATAGTTAATGTGATGTATATACATTATAATAATAAATGTGTTTTTTTTATACTCAAATATTTATTTTTTTATTTTATGATTTTTTTTTTTTTAAACACATGTTTTTTTTATAATATTTAATACTTAGGAAATACTGACTTTTGCTGAATATTCTTTAGATACAAATAATATTTTTTTACATTACTCTAATCGAGGTAATAAATAACGGTAATATTTACTCAAACCATTATATTTGTAGCCCAAAGTTAATACAGTTTTATTATACATAAGTCTCTCACTAATTCTAATAATAAAAAGTTATTACCATTATTATTATAATTATATTTACTAACCTGTTATTATTATTATTTATCAAAAATACATTCTGGTTGTTGAAGTCACTTTTACTCATATCAGTATGCAAATATTGTCAACAGTCAGAATGCGCCATGCAGAAATATTCTTGAACATGCTGCAAAATACATGATATACATAAGATACATATCATATAAGACCTATTACCTGGAACTTAACATTTTATTGTGTTTAACTTACAATAACTCAACTATAATAAATAAGCATATGGTTATAACTTATATAACAACTATTATCTTTTTTTAGTTATTTTTTTTTTTATGTTGAAGTTATCAAGTTAAATTAAAGTTTTGTAATTAAAGTTTAAATGCAAAAGTTCATATCAATAAAAATTTTATTAGTATTGTAAACATAAGTATTATATTACAAGTATTTACAAGTATAGGTATAGTAAGTATAAGTTGTTATTATGTATATTATGAAATTGTTGTTAATATTACAAGTGTACAATTTTAAATCAAAGTCAAAAAAAATGATTAAAAAATGAGGTAGATGCATAATAATAAAGTTTTTTTTTGCATTTAAAAACCATACGGTACTCGCCCAGACAAAAACCATACGGTACTCGGTACATTAAATATAGTTTTAAAATTAGTAATTTTCAAATTGGGTTTCAAAGTTCAGGATAAAATAGTATTTTTGTATTTTTCTTTTTTATTATTTAACTTTTTTTTAATAAATTTTTAGCAGGTCAAATTTTTCCAACTGAAAAAATTATGTGAATCCAACGCACCACTCATGAGATCTGTTAGATTTAGTAAAAATTGCTAAACTTGCCCCGCTCTACCCTTCACTAGTCAATTCTAGGTCGTTTAGGTTGAAAATTTAATTACTTAAAAAATTTTTATTACAAAGTGTTCAGGACTATTATACAGACAGTATTATGAAAAGAACAAATTATTTGGTGTACGTCCTGATGAGAAAATCAATTTTTAAAGGAGATCAGGGCAACTTTTAACCACTCCCCGTGCCCCCTTTATTTATTTAAAAAAAAAAAAATTATGCCATCTTTAGAAAAATCAAGTATCAGTTACATATTCAAAAATTCAATAAAAAATATCTTGGCGTTGAAAAGATATAACCATTTAAAATAAAACTAGTCAAAGTGTTACTAAATTTATTATGTATGTATGTATATGCTTTAGTTAAAAATCTAACATATTTATTATTTATTTGCATTAAAACTAGCATAGTTAATATAGTTAACATGCCAAACAAACCAAGAGATAATTTCTCTTCAAGAAAACTTATTTGTGTTTGCTGTGGTGGTAAGAACTTAAAATGCACTGAACTGGTAACTGGAAACCCTTTACTAATCTTGATTCAACTGTATGCCAACGCTAACTATAATCTGACACTTCTTTCCAACCCTATTGGGTTATGTCCAAGCTGCAAGATTTATTTGTACTCAGCTAAAAATGGAGAAACTTTATCACTTGTTACTTTAGAGAGGTAGTTGCTCACATCAGAGAGATTAAAGTTACATCCAAGATTTAAAGATAATACTTTTACTTGTACTTACTTATGCATACAATAAAAGCTATAGATAATATGAATAAACATTTGTTTATATATATAAATATAGGTGAGACAGTGTCAACATGTGATTGCATGCTCTGTATCATGTCAAGAGATAAATCTAAATCTATAAACCTTCAGGTAATTTATAAAGAACTCATATATGTAGCTCAATTATTAACGTTTAAAACATTTATAAAATTATAACTTTTATAATAGTTTAAATAAGTATATTTTAAATAAGTATAGTTTTTATTTATTTAGGATGTATTAAACATGTACATTAATGACCCTGAAGTACCAAAGGAGGTTATAGATAAAACTTGTTGTACTTGTTATCAGAGAATTGGATCTGGAATTCAACATCCCTGTAATAAGAGAGACATTGTACAGAACCTAAAAACACTGCTAAAGTCAACAGGTAAGAGCTTATAGTTTTTTTAAACCTAAGTTTTTACGTAATCCTAAAACATATTTACAAATTTTCAGGTTTAAAAACAGTTGAGCAAGTACTTAGCAAATTTCTGAAAGAAATTCAACAATTTAAAAATATTGAGTTAGACAACACTGTTACATTGTTGACTGGAGGAACTCCTTTAAGTCTGCAGATAGGGAAAAAGCCAACCCTTAAAACTATCTCTACCCAAACTTTCTATAATATCAAAAGAAAGCATGATATGTCAGACTGTATTATTGATTCAATAGCAATGGGATTAAGAAAAGATTTGGGTAGATTAGGTGTGGAATCTAATTCTTCCAAAAAAATTAAGATAATGTCACATACCTTAGATAACTATTACTCAGTGGAAAAAGTGGAATTTTTATTCAAAAATAAAGTTAAAGAAAATAAAATTATTGAAACTGTCATTAAAGATCTAGTGTATGTCAAAGATCCAGTATCTCTAGTTAATCATGTTTGCATTGCTAGGGGACTAGAAATTGAGAATATTATTATTCGTGTAGGAATAGATAGTGGCCAAGGATCTTTAAAAGTTATTATGAATGTTTTTAACAAAGAAGTAAATTATGACTCTAAAGAAACCAAGAATACTGGAGTGAACAAAGTTATAATATTGGCTTTTGCCAAAAATGTTTGCAAAAACCACACAAATCTTCAAATTCTTATAGAAAAAACAAAGCTAAACAATTTAAAGTTTTACCTTGCTGCAGATCTTAAATTATGCAACATAGTTTTGGGTTAGTCAGGACATGGGGGAAAATATTTATGTTTATTTTGTGATGGTGATAAAACTAATCTTGGAGAACTGAGAACCTTTAATATGCTAAAGAACATGTATAAAAACTTTGCTGAAAGTGGATTTAAAAAAAAGCTCTATACAGCTCTATTAGAATGTTATACATCTATGTCTCCTGGTTGAGTCTGGAGAGATGTATGTGCTTGATGTCATCCCTCCTCCAGAACTCCATTTAATGATGAAGATTATAACAGAAATTTCAAATGTAAGGAACTTGATGTTGCTCTCGGGTTAAAAAAACACGGAATTATTTGGCATGGGTATAATGGAGGTGGACTGGATGGTAGAAATGCTAACAAAATATGTAAGCTTTTGCCAGATTTGGAAAAATTTATCTTAGATAACTTTTCTTCTTACCATCAAGTTGTTGAACTGTTAAAGTTTTTTTTTCAGGTAAATTTTAAATTTACTTAATTTTACAAAGTATTTATATATTAAATGTTAATTATGATTTAAAAAGAAATATTTATTGAATCAAAAGCAATTTCTCACAAATGACACTAAAATTTACATTTAGTAGTAAACATGTGTTTTGGAATGAAACTCCATGACGGTTATGCTGATGCCATTGCAACATATATAAGGAAGTTAAAGGTAATAGTTACATAAATGCTTAAAAAATTAAAAATAGATTTAAAAATAAAGTTTTAATTTTTGTTTATATTAAGTGCCATCTTTTAAATTATTAATTTAGGAAAGCTAATAGTATGTGAAGACTACATTTAACCACAATCTTTCTATGGGATGGAAAAGTCATATAATTGAACACCATCTTGTCATGTTTTTAAATAGAACTAAGCTGCCATTGGGAGTATTTTCTGAACAATGTTCTGAATCTGTTCATCATAATATGTTAAAAACACTGATCAGATTCTCAACTTCAGAATTCAGAGAGCCATGTAGAGCTTCTTGAATATTCAAGTCATAGAGTTTAGGTTCTTTCTTTACTATTGATTACATAATTACTCATATCTTCTATATTATATTATATAGTTTTGAAGATTACATTATATCAGTATATATTATGGATTATATTATACTGTTTCAGAGTATATATATATATATATATATATATATATATATATATATATATATATATATATATATATATATATATATATATATATATATATATATATATATATATATATATATATATATATATATATAGCAGATGATTTTACATTTTTCCATAAAATAAAATATAATTTTATTATGTTATACAATGTTATACAATAATATTGCAGATTAGGTTTTTTTTTTGGTGTTTTTTCATTTGAGCTTTCATGCTATATTTTTCTATACAATGTTCTTATATCCAAAGATATTGTTGGCTTAGCATAGGAACAGCCACAAATAGTCATCAAGACTAATCCAAAGTAAAGATGGCATAATTTTTTTTTTAACAAATAAAGGGGGGCAAGAAGAGGGGGAAAAAGTTGCTCTGATCTCCTTTAAAAATTGATTTTCTCATCAGGACGTACACCAAATAATTTGTTCTTTTCATAATATTGTCTGTATAATAGTCCTGAACACTTTGTAATAAAAATTTTTAAGTAATCAAATTTTCAACCTAAACGACCTAGAATTGACTAGTGCCTTATAAGTTCTATTATCCTCATCCTCTAAAATGTAATAATCAGGCTCTGAAATGATACGCAGTAAAAATATAAACAATAAAATAATAAAATTAACAATAATAATAATTAAAAAATTTTTAAAATTTAATTGTTTTTTTATTGCGGCATCAACAACTAAAATGGCTAATACAAAACATTTAATAAAAAGTTTTACTTAGGAAATAAAAGCATAAAAATTTTAAATATATTTTTAAAAGTGTGTTAAAATTTTGTTCTAGAGGAAATCGAGTCGACTCAACCAATAAGTCAAACATCCGTTTTATTCGTTAAAGTTAAACTTTCGTCCTATTCGTTAAAGTCAAATTTCTGTCCTTTTTGTTAAATTCATGCTTTATCATAAGTTTTTGAATTATTTTTATAAATTATTTTATTTATATAATCTAATCTAGATGTCAGATTGTATGGTTTCCGAAAATGGTATAGCACTCAACATCCACTTTCATTTTACTTAGGAAATGGCAGGAACTAATCAACAAAAGGGACATCGTCAGGTCCTGATTAGTCTTTTTAATGCATATGAATTCATTCCTTGTAATTTACTTTTAACTAAGATGGAAACATAATGTTTTTCAAACAAAAGTCAAAATTTATGCGAAAACATCTGAATGGTTGCAAAAAAGTGTGAGAATTGCTTTTATAATTTCCGGTTGTTCAGATATTTCATCAGGAGTACACCAAGGATCTATATTCGGTCCAGTTTTCTTTTAAATTTGTACAAACGTTTTATTTCTATTTGATAAACAGATGAACAGCTGATGTCTACGCTATTGACATTTGTAATAGCAGTGTGGATTTTAACTTGTTTGCAAGAAAGAGGTTTTTTATGTATGTGTGTATGTGTGCGTGTGTGTGTGTACATGTGTGTATGGTAATTTAAGCTCTCCAAGAAGTTCATACGGTCTTATCACAGAATACCGCGGAACGGCAATTAACTAAAAAGTTCTATCATTCTTCCTGACGATTGTCGCTTATCTGGCTAGCATTGAAGGTCGGACCTCTTAGTTCAAAATCTTAACTTTAACGCTACAATTTAATTTGTCAATACCATAGCTTGGTTCAAGGTTAACTCTATAATTGCGCGCACCCAAACAAATTCCAAGTAGGGAAAAGCAGGGCAACATGGCGAACGTTTTGAAAGCCCTAAGTTATTGCAAAACTAACAGGCGTGAAGCAAAATACTTTCTCAGTATGTTTATATTATTAAAATCCTTTATTGCCTGCATGAATTTTCAGTTTGCAAATATAACAATTTGAAATAAATATTAAAATAAAAAGCTCATAAATTTGTCATCTGGTCACGTGACCGGGGCAAGATGGCTTATTATGCAATTTTTACCTCCAATTTTATAAAATTTTAAAAACTACCAATAACTCTAGATAAAGTAACAAAAAATAAACAAAAATTGCAAAAACTACTTTTAAAGAAATTAAACTTGAAGGACCCCATTCGTTATAAGAAACCGAAAGTTATGAATTTTTTTTTAAGCGCAAAAAGTATACTTATGCGTATAAAATTGCGTTAATAATATTTCAAAAAACCAATTGGTGTTTTAAAATAAAAGATGCAAATACAGTTTCGTTTTCACCCAATTTTAAGAATTTTTGTTAAGTTGTTATATAAAAACCCATCTTGCCCCATTCGCCATGTTGCCCCGCTTTCCCCTACTATTAAATGATTTTTAAATGGTGATAATTATTTTTTCAAAAATAAGAAATATGCAGAAAAAAAACAAAAACAGTGGCCTCTTAATAGCTGAAATTACTTGGTGTTGCTATAAATAATGATTTAAAGTTTAGTGAACGTTTAAAGTTATTATGCAGTAAAGCTAGTTAATTTTTTCTCTTGTTCACACAAGAAATTTTTTGATACTTAAAAACGCAATTCTCTTATTTAACGCTTCTAATTTTTAAATTTTTAATTTTGTCCGTTTATTTGGATGTTTTCAACATACTTAAAGCCCATAAAAAAGCTCTCTGTGTAAATGTTTACAAAAGATTTGATTTGTTTTTTAAAGATTGGAACTAGATATTAATTCCCAAAATTTATGTAAGAATTTTATTATTTCTTTTGATAGCATTACTGAAACCTAAAATTTAACAAAAATCTATTTAGAATAAAAAAACACGTATACAAAGATAATAGTAGCATTTGTGCCCTTATTTTGTACCTCTCTTTGGAACTACCGAGATAATGATACTATTTCGAAAGTTTCTAAAGACTTATTTAAAATTGGCAAAAATTATTATTATTATAAAATGTTTCGTTTGATTAGTTTCTCATTCAAAATTTTAATAATGACAATAATTTAAAAAAATTGATGGGCAGAGAATCATTTGCAACTGGATTTATTATATATATATATTTTTTTTTTAACTACTTTTTTTTTAAAGTAAAAAGAAAACAGTTTTTCAAAAGTTTGGTTTTTGTTCAAAAAATCTGACTTTGATGAAGAAAGCCATGTTGATTTGCAGAAAACATTTTATGTGCTTTAAAGTTTTGTTCTTTACAAGTTTTTCAAAAATTTTGCTGGCAACAGAGGTTAGTGAAATAGATCTATAGTTGTCAGCAAGTAATTTATCTTCTTTTTATAGACCGAACTAATATTTGGTAATTTCCTCAGAGTCGGTACTTCTCCAGAATTAAAGGATTAATGAAAGATTTTTGTTGATGGAATTGCAAAGCTTTTGGCAAATATTATAAGTATTAAGGGATGCAAGCCGACAGATTCAAAAGATTTCTAAGGGTTTAGGTCGGTACCCTACATAACGTTATTTTAACGTAATTTCAACGTTGCGAAATGGTTGATATATGGTTGAAAAGTAACAATCTAATTTTCAACGTTAGTTCAACGTTAGTTCAACATTAAAAAAAAAAAAACGTTGACTCAACGTTTATTTTTAACAAAAAATAAACCTTGAAAATAAACGTTGAATTAACGTTGAAAATAAACGTCGAATTAGCGTTGAAAATAAACGTTGAATTAACGTTGAATAAAAAGGTTGAATTAACGTTGAAAATAAACGTTGAATTAACGTTGAATTAACGTTGAATTTTAGATACTTAAAAACAAACGTCAAAAATAAATTAAAGTTTGCCGACGAAAAAATGTATTCATAATTCGGTATTAAAATAAAAATTTATGTTTCCCATAGATTTGTGCTTGGGTAAGTTCATTATAAGCTTTTAATAGTTTTTAAAGAATTTACCACATTTTAATAGACTTCTAAAAGTCTTAATGTAATTTTTTATTTGTTTTTTTATTTATTTGAATTTTCATGCTATATTTTATACAAAGTTATATCCGAAAATATTGTTGGCTTACCATAGGAGCAGCCACAAATAGTCATTAAGTCTAATCCAAAGTTGCGTCCGTTATTTACCAACATTTTTGCGTACCGAAAAACTACTTAAACGCTAAATTGGCGGTGGCAGGATTTGAACTCGTATTGTACAACAGTCCGGGTTTTAACTTTTCGTTTGACGCTTTAACCAACTGAGCTATCCAGCCACTAATAGTAATAAAAGTAAAAACTATCCAGCAACTAATAGTAATAAAAGTTAAAATAAAAGATTTTATGCTATGAAAATATGTATCATTTTATAAAAATTAAAAAAATGTATAAGAATTTTTATTACACACAGTAGCGGATTATCATTGAAGCAAATGAGGCAATGGCCATAGGCCCTACAATTTAAAGGGCCCCAAAGTTTGCACCACACTGATTGGATTGTGGAAAACGTGCATCCAATCAAAGTAAGTCAGATGACAATAAAAATGATGAATTTGATGTTGATGATGAAGATAACGATAGCATGATTTTATCAAGATTGTTTTCAAAATAATTTTAATTTTGTATAAGTTTTTTTTCTAAAAATGTATAAATTATTTTTTTGGCTTTATTTATTTTCAATAATTGCTTTTCAATTTCTATGATTTAGTTAGCTGCGTTAAAAAAAAAAAGTACATCAGGGCAGATTATTTGTAATACTCTAACAGCAGTTAGTAGTATAATATAAAATTAAGAAATAATAATAATAAAAAGTGAAAGCTGTTACAATTGAGAATAAGATGTGGTGTACAAAAGCATAAGATGTTGTACTATGACAGCTATTATAAGTTCATGAAGAATTATTGTTTCTTTTACTACTCATAACAATACAACATTGCACAAAAAAATAAATGTTTTGCGGATTTAAAGACGGCGCAAAAAACAGCTGTATTTTCAAGGTTTTATAAACTCATATAAATGTTCGTTGAATCAACGGTAAATCAACGTTAATCTAACGTTGATTTTTGGTTTCTTTTCAAGGTTGATCTA